CAAGGATTGAAGTTAATTTCATAAAGAAGAGACAAGCTCATGTTGTTCAGCTCTTTTGGTGGGAACTGTTATAAAATCTTTCTATTATATGCCGATTTCGATGTAATATTTTACAGACATCTGAATATCACATCAGTTGGGGTTGAAGTCCGTATCAACAGGTTAAGGACAGTACGTCCTCTTAAACTTGAACCTTTCCTTTTAACAGTGTTGAGAAAGCCCTTGGCAAATGGGATTCACCGATAGTTCTGTTTACTTGACATTGTCCGTTCAGGTGACCCAAATGACTCACTGCATAATTTCAGAGTGCCATTTTGATTTCAGATTTGGAGTATTTTATGAGCTAGTCGACTCAGTTGGCCTGCGTTACATGGCTTTGTATAGTTATTTTTGGTATATACTCTTCTCTGCAGGGTGGGAAAAATAAGAAGTCCAATTGATCCACCCTAAGGTGAATCTGTGTATGTACAAGTGAAATAGAGTATTACAGGTTTTTATTTTTAAAAACAGGCTGATTAAATTGGGTAAATGTGGTGGCGAGCTTGTGCTGTGCCAGATTCTGTTGCATTTTTATGGTAACATGAACATAAATCACTTCCACGTCTTAAACTGTAATATAAATGGGTCAAGGTTTCAAATTTGGTGCAAATGTCCTCTAAACATTTTTCTTCAGTTTATTTATAATGCTTTGCAGAACAGATTTGTTAGTTCTTAGGAGGTTTACCGAATACCGATTATCACAAGAATCACTGAAATTGTAGAAAAATAGAGAAACGAACACAAAGGATTTTTTCGCCACAAAGTCCCGGATGTTCAGCCTTACGACCTGCTCGTCACGTTGCGCATATACTAAGTAGATATAGTTTTAGATCCATTAGAAAAAGAACAAAAAAAAATGTTACAAATGTACGAAAAAACACAGTTTTTTTCACTGTTTTTGTTCTTGCCTCACACACAACTATCACAGCACCACTAATTCGCACTAAGCAATATAACAATTATACATCAAATGTAGTATCAAAAATCACTCGGATTTACAAAATCATTCACTCAGAAAATATCGGTGGTTTGAGAGAAAAAGAGAAACCTTAGAATCCACTTAGAATCGATCTCTCTGGAAGTAAGAATGAGGCGTCCAAACGTTTTAATTAGGCAAATCAAAGAGTCATTGATCAACGATGAGGAGACGGCCAGATGTATGGCTAGATTATATCTTTAAAAGAGGCAGAAGTCGCATTTCAAGAGAACACGTTTCTCTTAGCAATTGGATCAAGACCATTTCAGTAAACCCGACCCAATAGCCTTAAAGGGCCAAGAATGTGAGGCACTATTATTTTGGGCTCAACAAGATTAATCTCTATTTGAGCCCCCTTTTTTTGGGAATAATGTATTTTGAAATAGTGATTTTTTGGAGGGTGTGGTTAAATAATAAGGAAAAGTTTTGAGTTTGTGTTTAAAATTATTTTATGGGAGAATATGTGGTTAAAAATGAATTTTGAGAGTAATGAGCTCAAACGGGGGCTAAATTTATTGGTAATGCCAAAGTGAAGTCACGAAACAAATTGAATGTTACCAATTCATTTATCTAAGAGAAACGTTGACAAATTTTGAACTATCTGGCTGCACAATACCGGACGAAGGCCGGGAAAGTATATCAATGGGTTAATTATATTGGAGGCCATCGAACTTTCACTCTAGTTGTAATTGGAAATTGAACTTCAATTTGGAGCAATAAGGCAACTAAACTTTAATTTAAAAAATACAAACAGGCTAATCCGTTTGGGTTCTGTTACTGTGCTTACTAATATTAGTTTACGTGCCGGTTAAGGCTAACAAAAGGCCAAAGAATCCATGCTGGTTAGCAGATTAATAACACTAAATATCTTAGAACATTAACTCTAGTTGCAATCAAGTTAATGAACTTCAATTTGGAGCAATAAGGCAACTAAACTTTAATTTAAAAAATACAAACAGGCTAATCCGTTTGGGTTCTGTTACTGTGCTTACTAATATTAGTTTACGTGCCGGTTAAGGCTAACAAAAGGCCAAAGAATCCATGCTGGTTAGCAGATTAATAACACTAAATATCTTAGAACATTAACTCTAGTTGCAATCAAGTTAATGAACTTCAATTTGGTATAAATCATACATTTTACCTTAACATTCATTATTACACTTTCTTATATATGTACCAGATAAAGAGTTTTCTTAGCCTTTGTTAGTGTATGGACAACACCAATTAGTAAAAATAATGGGATTCAAAACTCAAATTCATAACTTTCCAAATTCAAGCAACAGTAAATTAACTCAATATGAAATTAAAAAAAAATGTAAATTATCCAATATTAGAGGAAAGATCCAACATATGCAAATCGAGCAATATAAGGCAACTTCAACATACTTCCTTCACAAAACCAAAAGCAGCCAACAAAACTGTGATGCAATAAATGAGACATTTAAAGTGATTTAAGAAATTACTTGGTATTGTCCAGTTAAAATAGGATTGTTTTTAGAACCCTGCTCCCTGTCCCGGGTCAGGGACAGGGGGCGCCACGTGGCGCCCCCCTATTGGAGGGGCGCCTGCCACTGGCCGGCACCCCTCCAATAGGGGGGCACCACGTGGTGCCCCCCTATTGGAGGGGTGCCGGCCAGTGGCAGGCGCCCCTCCAATAGGGGGGCGCCACGTGGCGCCCCCCTATTGGAGGGGCGCCTGCCACTGGCCGGCACCCCTCCAATAGGGGGGCACCACGTGGTGCCCCTGTCTTTCTCCCTGTCCCTGACCCGGGACAGGGAGAATTATTCTTGTTTTTATCTATCCCAAATAAAAATGAATTTTAGTTTTATAATTATAATGAGATTTAAGTTTAGTCTCATAATGGTATTAATTAGGGTTGGACAACACTTTCGAACGGAATTAGACCAGATTAGAATCGAACCGAACCGAGCTGTTCTTATTAAATTAAATACCTAAACAGGTACCTGAATTAAGAACTGACGGGTTCGATTTGATTCTCTGTTCTAGATCTAGAATCGAAGAACCGAATCTCCCTAATTTTTTAATTTATTTATCGTAAATAAGCCAAAATATCTTTTTTTCTAAATAAATTTGCTAACTAATTAATTTAGCCCAAATTCAAAATATGATTTTCCTATTTCTAATTTCCTTCCCAAGCCCAATTTAGTCAAATTGACCTAAGTTTTACTCAAATATACTATTCTACCGTAATGCCTTTATTATTATGATCTCGCTATTTTCTTCTTTTCATGATTTTAACAATCAAATTTATGAAGAATTCAACAAAAAGAGGCGGAAAAGATACATAAATTGGATCACGTTATTTTGTAAGAGCTAAAATTGAACATAATATTAGTTGAATTAATGTAGCTTTATTTTAAATATTAAAAAAATTCAATTATTTTTTGGACCCAGCAACCGAATCAAATAGAACTTAATTGAACTGAGCCGAATGAAACCAAACTTGAATAGTTCCATAAATAAATTTGGACTCGATGGTTCAATTTACTAAATACCCGAAAATTCGAGTTCGATTTGATTTTAAAGAAAATCGAATCGACTGGACCATCTCCAGCCCCTTGTTTTAATACTTGGGGTGGGTGAGGGGGTTCAAGGGTATGTGAGAGATTTTTATGTGATTTTACAATTTTTTCATATCTTCGTCTTTGACAGCTAGTGATATTTCTCCTATTCCAAAGTTTTCTATGTAAATTTGTGTTAATGAGGATAAAGATAACACCATGATGAGGATGCAAATGAATTTGAGGAATATAGTAAACAATGTTATTACATGTAAGTTGCATTTCCTATCTTTTAAATAGTTTGTTATGGAATATTTCTTTTCTTTTTAGGTTCGTATCTTCAGAGAATAAGTGGAAGGATTAGAAGATCACATTAATAGAATAAATGATTAACTGGGTACTTCTTAAAGTTTAGTGACCAGGTAAAAATTTTATGCAAAGTTCAATGATGATTCAGGTAATTAACCCGAAGATATCATTAATGATAAAATGTGCTAATTGATAGAAGTTCGAATACAACAAAATCTTTGAAAATCTAATAAATAACAATGAATGTCCTTAGTTTTATTCGTTTTACGATCTCCATGCAAAGAAATTAATTTTAAATTACTCATTTTATGTGCTTTGTATTTTTATAAAAATGATCGAGCCACGACTTCCATTACTGAATAATTTCAAAACCATGTGAGATTAACAGCTAAGTACTATGTTTAAGCAAATTGTTTATAAGAATTCCTTGCCCCTTGTCGATCACGCTTTCTGGATAACGCACAACAACGTAGTTTGAGCAAATGGCAAGCACATGCAAATTCGTTCTTGGAACATGGAAATTTAGATACAACTTCTATTCTATAGCAGGGCTCCTCCTCTTAGGCTTTGTTTTTGCTGCTCTTTATCTAACAGAGAACAGTAAAAGCTTCCTGGAAGAGGAGACATGGCCTAATGATTCTGTTCCTCACTGTGATTTGTTCTCAGGCAAATGGGTTTACGATAACGTATCTTACCCTCTGTACAAGGGGAAACAATGTTCTCTCATGGAGGACGATTTTGCGTGTGAGAAGTACGGTAGGAAGGACTTGAATTATCAAAAATGGCGATGGCAACCTCATGATTGCGACCTTCCAAGGTTCTTTGTTACCTCTAATTTACACAGATCATGTTTGGTATAGGAAAGATAATACTGTGGGCAAAACTAACTTCTTTTTCTTCATTAATACTATCTACTTCTATCCAGTTGTACGTATAAACATGCTCCTATAGAATTAAGAAATGATTGGTTTTAAAGTTTGTTCCTCGCAGTTCTTAGCATTTAAATTGATAGTTTTTTTTTTTTCCTGTTATGTCAAGGTTCAATGCTAATGCACTGTTGGAGAAGTTAAACGGGAGGAAACTAGTATTTGTAGGGGATTCTTTGAACAGAAACCAGTGGATATCAATGGTGTGCCTAATTGAGTCATCGATCCCTCCATCATCATTTAAATCCTTAATCAGGAAAGGAAAATTTCTCATCTTTCAGGCCACTGTAAGACAAAATTTTCTGTTCTTGAAATTCAGTTTTTCACAGTTTGTTTTCTGATAATTAACTCGTCTACAATGACCATAATATTCTTGTTAAATTCACGAAGGACAACAATGCGACCGTCGAATTCTATTGGTCTCCTTTGCTGGTTGAATCTAATTGCGATGACTTAGTACACCATCGGGTGCAAACTCGTATAGTTAAAGTTGAGGCGTTGAAAAGCATGGTAGGCAATGGACAGATGCAGATATACTTGTATTTGATTCCTTTATGTGGTGGTTGGATCCGAAATTGACAATTATGTTAGTACATTCCAAGAATACAATGCAAACTCTTGTTTCTTAATCTATTTTACCCCAAAAATGGGGATCAAGTAGGGGCTATATTTTTCCCTACTAGTAGTGTGCTATCGAATCTCCAGCAGGCTCATCTCAAGATAGAGTATAGTCCATGACCATATTTACCAAGTCCAAAAATGGTATTCTAGTTGCTAACAGCCCTCCAAAAGTTTTTTTAAGAAGTTAGGAGTGTGTTTTGTTTATCATTTTGAGGCAATTTTTAGTTTTCTAAAATACTCAAAACGTGTTAACTATATTATTTTAAAAAATGCATTTTCAAAAACAAGAAAAATTTACAACATAAAATTCAAAATGACTTTTTGAAGTGTTGAAATTTCTCAAATTAAAATAATCAATAAAATCACACAAAACCTACTCAAATACACACACCCATTTCTCTTTCTCTCTCAATTTATTATTTACGGATGATTTAGATGCAATTGTTGGAGATATACTTATAATGATTCTTTTTTCTTCTTTTTTTTCAACTTTAAAATTTATGTTTTTTGATTACGTATTAGCATAAGATTGATATGTTTTACTAAATAATCAAAATAATTGAAAAAATGTCATAAAATTATTTCTAAAATTTTTAAACCAAATGTGTGTGTGTATGTGTGTGGTTTTTTTTTTGTTTTTGTTTTTGAGAAACAGTTTTTCAGAATGAGAAATCAAATGCATTTTCTAGAATTATGAAGTAAATAATAATCCCTCAAAACAACAGAAAATGAATTTAATACTAAAAACAGAAAATGACAAAACAAACGCACCCTAATTCTTTTATACTTCCGTTTTTAAAATTTTTACATTGATAAATGTGTTTATTGATTACTTGACAAGTTGAGAATGTTTAATACCCTAGACTGGATAAGCCTAGAAAAGATCGAAGTAATGAACATATACCGTGCATATTAACGGAACAATGGACTCATTATGTTTTGTGTCATGTTGGTAGAGCCATTAATTTGATAGATAAATTGTAATGGAGCTTTTAATTGGAAGGGAAACAAAACTTCTGTATCAAATCTTAGAAATCAAGTTGTAGATGAATAGGAGTTATAAAACGCATCAAAACACGAAACGGGCCTGGGATAACCCTGTTGCTCAAGCCATAAGGGAGCGGTAGGCGGACAACAACTCCGCTATTCGAGCGTCAGGCTAGTGACATTTCTCTGTGGAAAATATGCAGGAATTTTTACAAGGAATCCCCAACAAATACAAGCTTCTTCCCCCTTAGCTTCTCCAAAAATGAAGTAGCATTGAACCTTGATATGAAAAAAATAAAAAATAATAACAAACCACCAATTTAATTACCAGAAACTGACAAGGACAAACTTTATAATCTAATTTTCCATTTTCCAAGAACTATTTTTTTGAGTGCTTGCCATTTTCTCAACTTGGTTGTGCATTATCCAGAAAGCTTAATCAACACAGAGCAAAAATTTGAACGGATACATATATCAATTTTATGTTTGAAGGCAATTAAATAATTTGCTTAAAGATGGTATTTAGCTGTTATCTTACTGTTGCATGGTTTTTAAATTTTTTTTTTTTTTTTTTTTTTAAAACAATCTATCATTTCTTTGAAAAACAAAAGATAGCTCCTTTTTTTGTTAGAAAATAACGATCAGCGTGTGTATGAAGCACGAAAACTATCAGCGACAGTTGCATGCTTTCATTTTTCTTTGTCTTCATATTGGATTCGAAGTCTATACCATCTCGAAAAAACTTGTTTGCATTACGTCTTTCCCAATTTAATAAACAAGTAGAGATCTATACCAGATGATGGTTTTAAATTTAGGAGCAATTAACTATTAGTTCGCCTTACCTTCCGTTTCTGATATTAGAAAAGAATTGTCTAATAACTCGTGCAAGTCTACATGTGTAAAACATTTTATAAATGCATACATGTAGCATTAACAAAAGCAAGAAGGCAAGCACATGGCAATGGAGTAATGAAAGTAAACAGAATATCAAATTAATGGATTCCACTCTTTTTCTATTGATTCGATCTTCTAATCGTCTCTCTCTCTCTCTCTCTCTCTCTCTCTCTCTCTAAGATTATTGATCACGGATACTCCATTCTTAACTCGCATTACTAGTTCCCTTTCTCTCTGAGATACTAATAGAGTAGGCATGTGACTTGATACTAGTTATTGGTAACAAAAATGTGTAGCCATCTCCGTATGTAGTGGATTACGAGCTTTCTTATTAAGCCTCCTTTTGATTTAGCTGAAAAAGTGGATAAAGGTCCAAGTCTAAAGTCGATAATTAATTTTAAAAACACATTTCAGGGGACCTACAATTTTTCATCAACTTTAAACCACACATTTTATCATCTTTATCGAAATTTTCTATAAATCTGATTTTTAACAAAACCCAACTGGGGCTAAACTTTAGAGAAAATTAGTTGTACACTTTTTATCCAACTGCAAGAAGGAGTTGTGACTTTTTTTATTCTTACAAACATTACTGAACTCATTCAAGTTCTTGGCTTGTCCAACCCCACAGGCTCATGAGTCGCTCATTCAACCAGAGGCGAATTTGGTCCAAAGCCACGAAGGCAATGGTCTATGGCCTCCAAAGTTGGGGGCCTCAAAAAAAATTTTAAAAATAAAAAAAAAATCTTACCTTTTATTCCTGATTGTTTTTATTTAAAACATTTCCATAATTTCTTTGGGACAATCTCTTCATTTAAAAATAAACATGCTATTTATTTAAATATATAATGTTGCTACATTTTTTAAAAATTATGTACGATGGTCTCATAATAAATAGTTGCTTAAGACCTCAAAATTCTCAGGGCTTGCATTGCATTAACTGCCCCACGGAGACATGCTGGAGAAGTACCATGCTCCCTCCCTCCATCCTTTCTTTCTATAGGTCCCATCTAGCGAGAGATGGCTCAGCCGAAAAGGTTAAATCTTACTAAAAATTGTGTATCTAACCTATTAAACCTAGCGAAATGGTTCAATAGTTAGTCGTGGCATGTGAATGTATGCTGTTGCAAAATCACATATAATTGTTTGTGCACTCTTATGCTATTTACTTGTTCGGTAAATCAGTTAAGTTGAAATTAATTAATATCAATAAAAATCTAAAACAAGTCTAACAACTTTGATTTCTTAGCTTGGCTTCACAAAATGCACTAAATTCATGACTATCTATAAATTTTCCGAAACATGATTCAAATCAACACACATTTATGATTCATCTAATGGAACCGCGCTTGACTAGACGTCCAGGGCGCCAAATATAGTTGAGGGGCCTTCTCACAGGCCTGCCACCTATAGGGGGCGCCATTTTCATCCAGGGACCAATGGGCCCTAGACATGTATCTTTATCCTATCTAATGAAGGCAATCCATATAATTTGTACAATCCTAGACGTCGAATTGAATGCATTTTTGAGAGGTCTCAAAATATCGTGAACCAAGGGTTTGAAAAGCATTTGGGCCGAACTTGACTCAATATAGAATATCCATCTAGTTGTGATACACCTCATCGGATCTATATAATTTAAACTTCAGTAATTGAACCGGCCGATTCAAGACCACACAGAATGATTATTACTTTCCGCTCACTTCTCTAAAAAGGAAATATATAAAATCATATCAGGACTATTATTCCAATTCTCTACAGTTACACCCTCTTGACTTATCATTTGTATGTCTACCATGTTCCCCTTCTAATCATTTTCTTACTTAAGCTCACTTTTTCTTATAAAGTTTCTTCATGATACAGATATAGAATAATGATATAAGCGTCTCCAAATACTTAGATCAGATATAATCTGCTCTCTAAATAATAAAATAATAAAAAAATAGAAAAAAAAAAAAAAACTTAAGAGCATCTCTTGAAGACTCCATATTTTTAAGAAGCATATTCTATTATTTGAAAAATATCTATAAATTTAGAGAGTTAAATTTTTGAAGTACTCCAACAAACTCTTTATATTTAATATTAATTTTACTACTCCCAAAAAATATGTATTATTTTTCTATTTTAACGAGCTTTTCTTTAGATTATTTTATTATTTTCCTACATTAAAAATTGAAACACTTTGAATGCCCCTTCTCTAAAATGTTAATTTGAAAAGTCTCTTAGAACATGATTTTAAGGGTTGACTTTTTAAAATAGAGAACATTTCTTATTTAAAAAGTATATTGGAGATGCTCTAAGTGAACTTATTAACCTATCTAACAAGGTGACAAATTCTGAATACAAATAATTGCTTACTACTTCGATTCTTGTTGCTCCCAACGTATCAATATATTTGATCATGTAATTTGACCTCTGTCATTGGTAGATCAAAGACATCGAGTTCACGAATAGCAACCCATACTCATTAGCGGGTTTAGATAATCATAAACAGGAAAATGAAAATTAATTTTTGCGCACAATCATGCTATAGAAATTAATTTATACAAAGGTCATGTCCAATACAGTTCAAGAATACAAAGGGTATGAGTGTCAATACTCATGACGAAAAGGTCAAGTTAAATCATGTATCTTAATTGGTAGAGTATATATGTAACCTTGCAACCTTATATATGTAATACCCAGGACAAATTTATTTTCGATTAAAATATGAGTTATATCTAGTTGTGCTCCTCTATGCGAACACATAACTCATATGATCAGCATGCGATCAAAGGCACTTAATGTTTGGACATAATTATAAATAAAATAATTATTTATATCGAACATAATTAAATAACAAATTTTTATTTAACATTAAAATCAAAATGTCAATAATTATAACAGTCATGTACTAATAGTACTGGGCATCAATTCCTGTAGTTACAAGTGTGTGAACACACAAGTTATGTTTTTGTACATCATTATGTACAGATAGATGATGTAAAAGAGACGAAAAGTGAAAAAAAAAAAAAAAGAGACGGAAGGGAAAGAAACTCATTCATTATAATCTTTCTCATTTCCATGTCATTTATCTGT